CTTTATCAGCACTGATGCATGGTGTGCGTGCATAGGCACAGGCTTGCAAATGTTTCATTTTAGCTCTAACATATCTACCTTTAGCAAATTTATTAAAGATCTACAAATATCAGCTTATCAAATTGCTGTGAAAAACTGTTATTTAGCACTAAGTTACAATTACTCTATCAATCAAGGATAGGCCTTTCTCGTCATCGAAGCCACTATATATTATATAATAAATTCTCAACCGTAAAATCTTTAGAAATGAGTCCCTATAATATAGTGGCTTCGATGACGAGAAAGTCCTATCCTTGATTGCTAGAGTAATTTACATTCAGGTATAGCGCTTAGTAATAAATTTACACGGCAACTTCATAAGCTGATATTATATTAGAGCCTTTTAGAGGTGTAAAGATCTATGATAAATTCTCAACCGTAAAATCTTTAGAAATGAGTCCCAATAATATATAGTGGCTTCGATGACGAGAAAGGCCTATCATTGATTGATAGAGTAATAGTAACTTAGTGCTAAATAACAGTTTTTCACAGCAATTTGATAAGCTGATATTTGTAGATCTGTAGTAAATTTGCTAAAGGTAGATATGTTAGAGCTGAAATGAAACATTTGCAAGCCTATGTCTAAAACACGCACACCATGCATGCTGATAAAGGCAAGGCGCTGTGTGTACGTGTGTGAAGCCCAGGCCCAGAGCTTCGCACAGTTTTGAATTTCGCATCTTTAGCACGCGTAAAGCTTGTTATTGACAAGATGAGCTCTGATTGGCTGTATGCAAATGAGTTCATACTGGGTGTCCCGAGCTCAAGTGGGAAAAAAAATTACGCCAGCGGGGTTATATAGGCCGGCATATCCAAAGTGCTGAAAAGTGGAAATTATTACAATTCCAAGATTAAGTTTTCTACCAGCAACATTTAACAAAGTAATTGATCTTCAATTTGTATGTAAAATTTGGGTGAATGGCCCGACCCCCCCCCCAATTGTCTTATAAAGCTTTGTTTATACCCCGTTCAAACATAGACACCGTTTATACTACGATGAAAAGGTAGCCGAGAGCGTGGTCAATCGGGGCCAATCGTGGGCCAAACGTGGGAGGATCTCCATGAGCGTGGTTTGGTCGACAAGCTTCATGCTCTCCCAACGCTTATTTTGAAAGTGCACAAATAAGCGTAGCCGGGTCGTGGCCAACAAAAAGCTGGTCAAAGTCTTATTAAGAAAGTAGTGGGAACGCCATTATTCCCGTTTGGAAATTACATATCACAACTGCATATTCTGAGATTTTCATGGTCGCAGCTACCATTGTATGGCCGAAGGCGCTATTTGAAATTTTATCAAAATTTACAGGGAGCACCGGTAAATTTTGATATTCAATTTTTCTCGAAAGCAGAAGTGTTTTAGGGGCTAAATTTTCTAGAGCTTATAATACATCCTCAGGGGCATCCAAATATTTCAAAATTTTAGGAATCGCTATCCGGCCATTTTCAACATTTTCCAAAACTTTGTATTAGGCTACCTTTAAAGAAACCAAAAACGGTTTTTCTTCGGTGGTTTCCCATGTCATATCTTTCATGACAATGTTGACTGCGCTGAATCAAATAAACAATAGACCTCCGGGCTCTTTTCTATCAAATATCGATCATGGATCTACATTAGTAATGATAAATCGAAAGGGTGTGCTAATCTCATTGGTTTCTTTGATCTCGAATGATCGGCTGCTTTGATCGTAGTTAGTCATTACAGCGATGCCTTTGTGACTGCCTTCCTTCGTCCAGTAGAGGGTGCCATTGAAGTACTTGATATATCGCAGTTTTGTTTGCTCTTCATCGCCATCGATGTCAGGGTCATTCATGTAGTCTGTGAGCTCGTAAGCATCTTGTCTGCCTACGTCCTTGTAGAAAGTTTGTTCCTTATCATAGTCACAGAAAAATATGCGTCGTGGATCTCCTGCCAAAACAAAGAAAATTGCAAATCTTACAAGAAAACAAACAAATATCTTCTTGAATAATTCTAATCATTAATTTAATAAAAATGTAATAACAAAACACACACAACAATTGATATCAATTAAAAATCATATTCTGAGAAGACAAGACAAGACAAAATTACATAGAACTTGAAGATACTACGTGGTATACCTGACGTATTACATTTGGTCAGGTTGAATAAGTTATACCTTTCAGTTAAGTTCGATTCATTTCTATAATTTTCTCCTTTTTTATAGCCCATGGTATATTATAAAAACTATACAGTAACAAGAAGGACGTGAAATCATACATATTTCTAAATATTTGAATAGCTAAATTTGCCAATGTCAAAACTGTCTCCACGCGACTATTCAAAACATTGATATAATGCTTTTAAATGAAGGTAATATAATGATGAGGGATTTTATTATCACATCAAAAAAGTCATATTTCCATTATGAAATGAAGGGAATATCGCGATATTGTAATACAAATGCAAAATAATTGTCTTTTCTTGATAAATCCATAATTTTGCATTCTAAAGACCTTCATGAAAAATCGATCCGTCTTTCCACGTACACGGATGATGTCAATGACCCTTCTAAATAAGAAATACGTACACGGCTGATGTCAAACTATGGGTAATAACAGTGGAGCATCAGGGTCGTCAAGTGTGACATACTAGTGCTGTACAAGAACACACAACAACTTTTATAATTTTCAGCGCTTGGCAATCACATGATTATTGCATTGTATTATATATCTTGTGTTTATCCTTTTATTAAACCATACCGATGCATTGTGTTCAGAATTATAAAGAGTTGATGGCTATATACCCCCATCAAAACAACTCTTGGTTTCCCCATTTATCATTTTCATTCTCCTATCAAATTCATCTCTTTGTCAAGGTTCTGAAATGCCTTAATATTTGAGAATCGTTATAATGTTTGTTACCTAAATAATATTTCGAAAAAGTTCATGATAATTTAGCGTATACAAAATAAATAATAATGCAAATACCTGTTTCTTATGAAGCACTTTACAGTATTATTATTACCCCAGTAATTGAATTATATCACCATTCAGCAGAATATGGTACATATTCTCCACTCAATGGGGGCGTTAAAGTTAGTCGCCTACATGCTAATTCAACCACAATGACGTACCGGGTACCCATTAACACCTGAGTGGAACCATGTTTAGATAAACTCTTGTTGAATTCTGATTCATTTATCTGAAATGACATGTCATTTTACTGAACCCTTCTAAATATGAAATACGTACGGCTGAGATCAATGCTCAATCCGCTGATTTTGGATAGATTGGCGTTAGAGTATACAGTCTCTGTGCTTCCAGATCCATTAAGAGATTTGCGTTGGATGTCGTTGTTCATTGACCAATACAAGAATCTGCAAAATCAAGAGTGTCCTGTCAAAATATATCGATATCGAGAAAATCAGAAGTTGTCATGACGTCATCCTGTCACCAACATACCATTGATAGAATGAAAGATATCGTGAATTATCATTTGAGTAAACCTGGTGTGAGATATCCCTAAAGTAAAAAGTCAAGTATTGCGGTGGCGCAAAAACGCCTCAGTGTTGAAAATCGTTTATAATAAGGGCAAGCCTCGCACTTTACTGTACTTGCTGCAGTTCATTTTTATTGTTTGGATTATTGTTAGGACTATTATTATTATTATTATTATTATTATTATTATTATTATTATTATTATTATTATTATTATTATTATTATTATTATTATTATTATTATTATTATTATTATTATTATTATTATTATTATTATTATTATTATTATTATTATTATTATTATTATTATTATTATTATTATTATTATTATTATTATATAATTATTATTATTATTATTATTATTATTATTATTATTATTATTATTATTATTATTATTATTATTATTATTATTATTATTATTATTATTATTATTAAGATTAATATTATTATCATCATCATCTTCATCGTTATTATCATGTATTTGATAAACACATAGTCACATAAACACTGAATACAAAACACCAGGAGGCTTTCAATTGACTGTATGTATAATCATGAGGGGTACTACTTGGTAGGGTCTGGGTGGGTCAATTAACAACCCACACCCCTCCTTCTGAACCAACAGTATGATGACGTCATAAACTTACCCCTGTTCCTCATCCACCTCCAAATGCCTAGGGTAATTGTTATAAGTGGTTACAAAGTTTGTCTCACTCCCTGGAAAAGCGCTTCCTTGTCCAATATCCACAGTTGTTATTTCCTGTGACACTCTGTAGGCGATGTACAGAATGCGTGATGATTCAGCTATCGCAATTCCTCGGATCCCTGAGATTAAAAGAAAATCAGGAAATCGAAACATCTGGAAATGGGGGGGGGGGGGGCTCCTAATTAACTATTGAACAAAAATATTTGGGGGGGGGGTAAAGATTCCAAATAGATACACAAAGTAATAGCAATCAATAAACTAACACACAAACAAACAAAGATTGCATGGTACATAATATAACAAATCTGTATACATTCAATGTTGGTTGATATCCATATCATAAAGAAAATATGTTTTGGAATCAGCTTTATTTCGGTGTCATATTGTGTCAGATTCTTTGAACAGTTTTATTCGTATATAATAAGATTCTGTATGTTTGTATTATCATTGGGTAGAGAGCAAGTTTATCGTCTTTATCGTTTTACGTCTGAGTGTATTTCAAAGCTTTACTAAGGGACATTTTCTATGCCGTACCTTTATCGCTTTCAGAAGTGACTTCCTCTCTGTTTCCACCATCCGCATCAGCACGATAAACTCGTTGTTCATCAAAGTCAGTCCAGTAGATCTTCTTCTCCACGGAGTCATAGGTAATATGACGGGGTTCTTTAGTGGATGGAATGACAGTGAAGTCTAGGTCATCTTGTAGATCTGCAACAAAAATCTTGTCCTCGGTTTCTAGGTCTGTCACAAAGATCTTTGCAGTCGATTCTAAAATAAATGGGTAAAAGGAAGGTAATGTTAT